AGGCACAGGAAGAGAAATACCTTATGGCCTCACTCATAAATGGGAGCTAAAAAATAAACAAATTTATAAAAAGGAAGAAAGATGCAATGATCACAATAATAAGTTGAACTTTCAAAAGGAGAGAACAGAACTGAGGTTACCAGAGGTGGGAAAGGGGAAGAGGGAGAAGGAATAAGGGAGGAATTGGTAAAGAGCAAAAAAAAAAATGATTAGGCAGTATAATGTTGAATATACTAATTATCCTGATTTGAGCATCACAGATTGCACACAGGTTTTGATATTCAATGCTGTACCCCACAGATACATATAATGAACTATGTCTCAATAAAAAATTTTTAAAAAACAGCATATATGTTATGAATTTAGAAATGTAAAAATAAATAATGTGGTAATATATATCATGAGATATGTTTCTGCAATAAGCAAAATACATTGCCAATTTGCTACAATAAAGTAAATACAGCTAAAGAATTTTCACTACTAGACGTTAGAGTTAATTTTCTCTGCAGAAACATAGCTGTGAAAGATTTAGTAGTTTATATACTGGAAGGATTGATAGCTCTCCTAAGTTCATTGGCTGCAATTTATAGATCATTCTGATGTGAAAGAGTTAATTGTACAAAATAGTCTTGGATTAATATTTGAGAGTGATTTAAACACTAGCCAAGAAGTCAAATTACATACATTGACTCATAACAACATTTTGTTCTATAGAAACTCATGTTTTTAATTTTAAATGTTAAGAAATACCTTTCTAACTTTATTACATATTATTTTATAGTATGCTTTTTTACGTTTGCTCTTTTATTTCATTCATATAGTTTAAGAATATTCTTTCCATAGAAAGAAATCAAATTCAATAAATTAATCTATGAATTTCAATTTCAAATAAAGTCTGTTACGATTTTAACAGAATAATAGAAAACTCCTTTGCAACTAGATACAATAAATATTGTGTTAGAATGATTAACAAATAATTCGGGGGCTGAGCCCGTGGCGCACTCAGGAGAGTGCGGCGCTGGGAGCGCAGCAGCGCTCCCGCCGTGGGTTCGGATCCTATATAAGGATGACCAGGTGCACTCACAGCGCTCCCTGGCTGAGCGCGGTGTGGCCAGTCTCAAAAAAAACAAAACAAAACAAAACAAAACAAAAAAACCCAAATAATTCGGATATGATGTAATAAGAAAATTGTGATAGCATAGGGGACTACTGAGTGCATTCTTAGAATTTCCAGGCTGTCCTGTCTTTTTACATTTTCATATTACATATAATTTTTTTATGTGGTTGTTTCAAAGATACCTTGTAGTTTTTTTGCGACCAGGCATATTCTCTGTCTATATATTCAGGGTGTCTAGCACAGTGTATGGCACAGTGTAAATGCTCCATGAATATGTGGTGTTTGTAGATGGAAGGTATCTTGAAGGAGAAGATTCCTGCACTGAGTTTTGAGGAGTTACTAAAGGGTGGTGTGTGTGCCTATTGTGGAGACAATGTGGTGTTCATGGCAGAGTGGTCAGATGCGTAGGCATATCCTGGGATGGTGCGTTTCAGTTCGTGTGGCTGGAACATAAGGTGCAAGGCAAAAGGGTGGTGTGTGTGCCTATTGTGGAGACAATGTGGTGTTCATGGCAGAGTGGTCAGATGCTTAGGCATATCCTGGGATGGTGCGTTTCAGTTCGTGTGGCTGGAACATAAGGTGCAAGGCAGATAAGAAAATTGTGATAGCATAGGGGACTACTGAGTGCATTCTTAGAATTTCCAGGCTGTCCTGTCTTTTTACTTTTTCATATTACATATAATTTTTTTATGTGGTTGTTTCAAAGATACATTGTAGTTTTTTTGCGACCAGGCATATTCTCTGTCTATATATTCAGGGTGTCTAGCACAGTGTATGGCACGGTGTAAATGCTCCATGAATATGTGGTGTTTGTAGATGGAAGGTATCTTGAAGGAGAAGATTCCTGCACTGAGTTTTGAGGAGTTACTAAAGGGTGGTGTGTGTGCCTATTGTGGAGACAATGTGGTGTTCATGGCAGAGTGGTCAGATGCGTAGGCATATCCTGGGATGGTGCGTTTCAGTTCGTGTGGCTGGAACATAAGGTGCAAGGCAAGAATGGCTTATGATCTGTGAGGCAGGAAATATAAGACAAAGAGTGTCCATAGCATATTAAGGACTATGATCTTTGTCTTGTAAGAAATAGGAAGCCAAAAATGGGATCATTGTGGTAGTTCTTAGAAGATGTTTTGGAGGAAACTGTACTAGGATCAAAAGAAGCAGTATATGTGTGATATTGTTCAAAAAAAAAAAATAATAAAGAGGGCAAGGAGCAAGCGCTAGTAGTAGGCAGGGAAAGAATGGGAAGATTCAAGGAGTATATTAGAGTAAAAAGTGGAAAGATTTGTGACAGACTACTGTCCCATAGCACACAGCTAAGAGAGCAAGCTTTAGAGCAGTCTCACTTGCATTTGAGCCCTGGCTCTGATATTCTCTAGCTCTGAGAATGACCCCGGGCAAGTTTCTTAATCTTTTCAAAATTTAATTTTCTCACCTATGATTATAATACAAACCTCATGGGAATATTAAATTAATTTATATTAATTAATGAGGAATTAAATGAAATGACACATACAGAACACTTAGCATAGCTGTCTGTGACACATTCTAAACATTCTGGTGGGCATTGTTGTGGTGGGGAAAAAATAGACATGTGAGTCTGCTTATTTCTATTTCGAAGTGACTCTCCTTTTTCAGGAGTCCCTGTTATCACTCTTTCTCAACCGGTTGTAGCATCTGAAGAAACTAAGAGTGTCCAGGTACTAATGTGTTAAGCATGCTTTAGCTTCTAGCATGGAAAGTTGTCAGAAATTTTTTTAAAAATGGCTTGTGTAATCAAAGAAAGAATTAGTCAGAACTGCCCACTAAGCAAAGTTTATTTTTGCTTATTGAATCTTTGCAGTCTGGATAATCTCAGAGTCTTCTCCACCTATTCTAAGCATACTACTTCCAAATCTCCATGTACCTTTAGGGGTCATGTGTTCCCCCTGTCATGACAGGAAGCGATTTGGAAGGACAATTTCTTGAAACATATTATTGAATATTTTGCCAGATGTATATAAATTTAAATTAAATATTCCTAAGGAGGAATATTCAGTCTAAGGGAGCTCTGTAAACATTCCATGAGTTCATCCAGTCTATGACTTAACAGCAATCTAGGTGTCACCTACATCCACATCTCTCATGAACTCAGACTGCATATTCAACTCCTTACTCTAGGACTTTACTTGGGTGACGAATGTACACCCCTATTTGATTTCTTGAGCTTTCCCCAAAACCTGTTCCTCCCACAGTCTTCCTCATCTTATTGGTTGGCAGAATTATTTCCTTTCAGTTACTCAGGCCAGCACATAAATGATCAATACATGTTTGCTATTGACTGAATTGTATCCTCCTCAAATTTATATGTTGAAGCTCTAACCACCAATGTCATGGTATTTGGAGTTCAAGCTTTTGGGAGATAATTAGGTTTAGATGAGGTCACAAGGGAGGAGCCTTCATGACGAGTTGATGCTGTTACAGTAAGAGATACCAGAGAGCTCTCTCTCTCCCTCCTTCCTTCTCTCTCTCTGCCATGTGAGGACACAGTGAGAAAGTAGCTGTCTGTAAGACAAGAAGAAAGCCCTCACCAGTATCCCACCATGATGGCACCTTAATCTCGAACTTCCAATCTCCAGAACTGTGAGAAAATAAATTTCTGCTGTTTGCGCCACCCAGTCCATGGTATTGGGCTATGTCAGCCCATGTATTTCTAATACACGTATTTGAATGATTAAATGAATAACTAAGTAGAGAAATGAATAACTGAGCGATTATGTGACAATATTTATCTTGTGACCCTAAGGCCATTTTAGTGTTTTAAACCTAAAAGGAGAAACTGAGGCAAAAATACAAAACAATTTTTAGGATTGTAACCTGGGAAAACACAAATTCAAGTTGCCTTGAAAATGTGCTCCTTCTGGCAGCAGTTGTAAACAGATTTTTAAAGAGAAAAAGGGAGATGTTAGGGGGCAGTTCCAAAGTTGTTTGCCAAGAGTTTACATTGGTTCACTAAGATACAATAAGCTACTGATTGGCTGTGCATTGCTTTGTGTCATGAATTCCACGAAGCTTGCAACAAAGAAAGAATAAGGGTTGCATTGTACAACTTATGATAACATCTGGGTAGTTTATACAGTTGGGGCAGCAACTAGTTTGGAAACAGTTGCCAAAATGTGTAATTTAGCAATTATCCCAGACGTGGGCGAGGGGGACATGACTGAAGCCCCATGCTCCTATCTAGGCCCAGTAAGTTTATCAGACCTCACATTTCTTGGATTGTTCTGAGCCACTTTTATTCTCGGTGTCTTAGTTGACATAGTACATTTGAACCTATAGATGTTTTATTTTCTCACTTTTTTTGTATGGACCTTTTTTTAGATAATGTGATATAATAAACCTAACTTCCAGGTCTCTTATTATATAACAAGATTTTTACTTTTAGATTAAGAAGGTATTTTCCAATCTTGATTTAGGAAGAACTATGTATCTGACTATGGAAATATTGCTACTACGAAACCCAACATTTATAACTATTTAGAAACCACTGCTATAATCATATTAATTATGTTGAAATAATCTTTAAGCCAAAAAAAAAAGAAAGAAAAGAAAAACTGAAATGAAAAGATAAAGGATATTCCATTCACATAAAATAAAGACATGGAGAAAGCAGAGAATTTACATTATTTAAATCCATAGAGGTAAACATATTTGCAGATGGTGATGGAGAGAGATTTTATGTTCTTCATGAGTTTTGGAAGACAGGAAGCTTCTTGACAAAAAGTGCCTCCCCTTATCCCCATATACTTAGGAATAATTTCTTCAAGGAATGAGGCTTTTAGTTGAGAAGTCACTGTGGTGTTAAGTAAAACTAATTTGTCTAATCTTTAGAAGACTTAAGTTTTGGTCACATAGATAGTAAATGGTGGTTCACTAATTCTTATAAACTCTCTTGCAGGTCTGTGAGTTGGCAGTGACTTTGCTGGGCTCATCTGAGATTGGTGGGGCTCTGCTCCATGCCATATGCTGTCTCTTTCTGGAACCCTGGCAAAAGAAAGTGCCACTATCTGGAGCATGTTGATCTCATGAGGGCGAGAACAGCTCTGGAGGTAATGTTTCTGAAAGCCTCTGCTCACAATTGGCACTCTGGCACTTGTCCTGACACTGTCCATTGATGAAGGCAAATCATGTGGTCAAACTAAAGTCTCAGGCTGGTGATACATCACACTTTGCCTGCTGGAAGAAGCATTATTGATGGAAGCAATAATTCAGTGTACCACACTACCTCAACGAGTTGTTGAATAAATTAAATGTGTTTGTTATATATACACATATTTGTGAACAGTAAAGATTTAAGCATAAATATAAGCATGAGAAACAAAAGGGATCGACCCATTACTAATGGGTAAAAGAAGGCATCATTAAAATATATATTTATAGTACTTTATATAGTATAAAATGACTTCAGTCATTTGTGTTTTCTTGGACCTTGAACTACTGAATGGAGTTATACCTAACAAATACAGAGAGCCACATAAAATCAGGAAAAAAATATGATCAGCTTCTGGGGTATTATTATTGTTATTATTCCTTTAATACAGCATAGTATAAAGGATAATATGTTGAGATATAGTTGTCCACTTGAAAATATATGAAAACAAATTTTATCACCTTTTGTCTCCTGGAATTCGTAGGCAATCCACTTGTGTCTAGAGAAGGTCATTACCTTCAACAGCCTGTTGCACTGTCTGTGATCTCTGGGAAACATGCCGTCCTGTAATGGGGCAATTCTGATTGTCATTTCTCTTCCCAGGGGTAACTGAAATGACCAGTATGGCTGAGAATATAAGGAAAGAGGGAATTCCATGAGCAGCTGGGTGACTTCATTACTTATTAGTACCCCAGGATTTAATTTTCAGCTCAGGAGAATATTCACAGGTTTTTATCTTCAAATTGTAACCTGAAGAGCATGTCTCAGTTTAAGACAGCTGTTCACAAAAGTAAACTTAAAACTGGATATGGTTTGTATCATTTGACAACAAGTCAAATGATGGGAATGCACTTCTAAATGATGGGAAACAGTCATGGCTTATGCTGGCATTTCCCCCAAACTCTACTAGTTTCTGTGAAATATTTCATATGAGTAAGAAAGTATTATAAAAAATAGTAGCATAAATTTCTAATTCTGATGTTTTTCATTAGGAAGAAATTTCAATAGTTTATTACATTATCTTATTTATATGTTCTTACTATTGTTCTTAACTTTATATTATTTTTCTTAACTTTTTTTTCTCCTCACTCTAAATGTAATCCATGCCTAATAGGTGTTTTGGAAACTCAAAATATGTCACTCACCCAAATTAGTTAGTGTTCAGGTAAATTTCATTTTAGTGTCTTTCTCTCTTTATCTTTCTTGCTCTTTTCACGCACAAACACACACAAACACACACACACATCACACATGTTTATGTATAGATAAATAACTGCTGACTTATTATGAATAAGAACAGAATTTTTATGCCAAACATATGATATTATGTCCTGTTTGTTTCACTACTTATGTCAATACATTCTCTACATTATTATTATAAAAATATAAAGAAATATATGTATTTGTATTATATATAAAGAAACATCTAATAGTCCTCTGAAGTGGTACAATCTAGATTTGTTAACACTCTACTAAAGATTAGAAATCTAGATTATTTTCAGTCCTTCATGATGTATAATAATGCTTTTATTCTTAATGAGTTCTTAGGGACTACTTTCACAAATGGAAATTTCTGTATCATAGTCTATGAATATTACATGGTGGCTACTAATAACATCTGATATTACATTTTTACTCATCATCAATATATAAGAATATCGTTTTTATTTTGCTCTTAGTAGCTTTGGGTGTCTTAAAAGTATTTCTTAATCTAAATGAAAACAATATATTAATATTTAAAATTTACAGTGTGGTGTTACCAAAGAGGGTGAATATTTTGTATATATTAAAATGTATTTATTCTTTTATAAATTATGAATTTTTTCTTGTTGTCCACTTGTATATTGGAATCTTAGCCTTTTTTTCTTTTTTAGCAGTTTTATGTTTTCTCTGTTCCTTCTTTTATAAATAAAGGTTTTAATCCTTTGGACCAATAAACTGAACCTATAAAAATTCTTTATGTGACAATGATACCGTTTGATTTTTTCATTTACTGTAAATATGTTCTTAATTTGTTTTGTCCCACTTAAATATAATTTTTATCATATATTGTGGAAGATTTTAATTGTTTTCAACAGGGAAATATGTTGAGTTTTTAAAAATATTTACCATTGCTTCTAAACTTAGAAGAATTTCTCTTCTTCATAGATTTCAGCAGTATTCATAAATATCACCATTGTATATATTTATGGTTTGATTTTTATATATTTAACTATTTAATTCTTCTGAGCTTTATTTTAGCCTTTAGAGTGAGAAACATTTTGAATTTTTTTTTTTTCATTTTCAGTTTGACTAATTGTCTCAACATTTTGGTAATTCATTTCAAACTGGATTTTTTTATAAATTGTTTTAGATATTAGTCTTGGATGAAAAATTGCCTGGATTAAAATCTCTCCATCATTTTCTGTTTGAAGACTAGATTTTTTTTTTTTTAATAAGCTCTTTGTCTCAATTTCCTCATCTGTAAAAAGGAGAGGCTAAGAAAAACAATGACAGCACACCTAAGGCAAATAGGTCTCTGAAGGATTGAGTTAATTCATGTTTAATGACTACCCTACAACCAGGTTGTTCCTGTTGTTATTTATATTGCTTTGATGAGATTTTTTCTAGGTTTTTTTGGTCAATAAAATATCGTAGGGATTTTTATAATTATATAATTTTCTGTGCGAGATATTATATTTGGTTAAAATAATCCTTTTTGGTAACTTTAAAATGTCGAAATTCTTGTTATTTATATTGCTTTGATGAGATTTTTTCTAGGTTTTTTTGGTCAATAAAATATCGTAAGGATTTTTATAATTATATAATTTTCTGTGCGAGATATTATATTTGGTTAAAATAATCCTTTTTGGTAACTTTAAAATGTCTAAATTTGTGCGAGATATTATATTTGGTTAAAATAATCCTTTTTGGTAACTTTAAAATGTCGAAATTCAATTATTTTTGCTAAATATTTTGGTTACACAGTACTCAGTATGTAACAGATGCTCAATTAATATTAATTTAAAAATTATTAACTAGGGCTGGCTGGTTAGAACCCAGTAGTGTCCAGCCCCCCCCCCAAAAAAAAATGTTAACTAAAAATGCAAAAGTGTCAAGGATTTAATGCATGCAGGTCACAGTCAGTCACGCAGGAGAAGAAAACCATTCCCAAAGGACAGAATACTAGAGCACTGGATCATAGGTAATTAATTGTTCTGGTGTCATTGCCTATCCACTGTACTGATACAGCTACTCCTTTTCTTAAGAAATACTGCCCCCAACAGGGAAGAGGCCCTTCCAAACTCTTCTTCCATCCTTCCATCCATCTTTCTCTTTCTCTCTCTCTTTAATTATCTATGTATACTGTTTTGTAAACCTGTACCCCTGACTCCATCTGATTTAATCAGAATGGTATATTTGGCCCAAGCTGGGCCAAACATGTTCTCTGTTCTAGGACTTAGAATTTAGGTAGATTATTAGTCCTGGTGCATTTTTGTATCAACATTAAGCAGCACAATACCTGGCTTAGATTAGGGGTTCAATATTTAATATATTGAATGAAGCACATTCTAAATAATTTTTGTTATATTTGTGTTTAAAGACAATTTTCAAGAAATTTCTTTATTACCACTTTTCATATCTTACAGTAAATTCATTGTCTGAATACTTATTAATTGGTAGAGTTTAATTCACAGCTGTTTTTGAACATTAGTATGGTCTTTTCACTTATGATACATCTTCTAAAACATAGCATATGTTTACATATTTATTTTGTATTTTTTTCCTGGATATTTTTTCTTTTCTTGATGCTCTATTAATTAAATTTTTTCATATTTATGTATATATTTTCTATTTCTACAAAACAGTTGCATTTGATAAATTTTTACTTAAATTGCCATCAATTTAGAAATATTTGAATATATTAATTCAAGTTCCTTTTTCATTTATTTAGGTTTAGTCCTTTGCAACTCACAATTATGTAAACCACTATTGTAGATCAAAGTGATTTTCTGCCAGCTCACCTTTATTTTATTTTTTTCTAGTTTCCTTTGTGGGTCCCCCTTCATCTGCCTGTGCTTTATGTGGTGGTATTCCTTAGGGTTCTACCCAAGACACTCCTTCCCAGATAATTTCACTACTTAAATGGCTTCAACTACCATCTGCTTATTGATATCACTCAAGTCTATATTTTGGCCTGAATGATTTTCCAAAAAGGTGCGCCTGTGTCCCAACTGGCTGCTTCATGTTATTACTTAGATGTCAAAACAGCAATTCTAACTGGACCTGTTCCAAACTGAGCTTATATTATGATGTCATGCCTGCTTCTCCCATACCTCCTTCCGCACAGACACAGGATAGAGGTAAGTAGGTCCTGGGCCCTGTGCTTTAGAGGACTCTTCTCTGGCCACTGCTTAGCTGACCACCTCTCAAAGGGTGAAAGGTTGGCAGGATTCAGATCTCTCTTCCAGACTAGACTACACTGCATCTTCCAGGAACTCACAAATTTCTTCAGGCCTCCATGGATTTCTTTCCAAGGCCTGTCTTTCTGACTGTAGTCCTCGCCTACAGTTATACTGTCTTGTATTAGAGTTCTCCAGAGAAACAGAACCCATAGTATGTGTATATACAGAAGGAGAAAGAGAAAATTTATTTTAAGGAATTAGCTCATGATGATGGAGAATGGCTAGTCCAAAACCTGCAAGATGGACAGGCAAGCTGAAGATCCAGAGAAGAGCCAATGTTGCAGCTCAAGTTTGAAAGCTGTCTGCTGGCAGAATTTCTCCTGCCTGATAGAGGTCAGTCTTTGTTCCATTTGGGACTTCAACTGATTGAATGAGGCTCGTCCACAGTAAAGAGGGCTATCTGCTTTATTCAAAGTCCATTGACTTCAATGTTAACTCATTTACAAATGCCCTC